CAAGGCTGTCAAAGCCCTGCTGCTTAGACATAGTGAATGAAGCATCATTTGAAAAGATATGATAAGTAAACCACAAGCATCATGGTAAAAGAATGAAACTTATTTTTTAATAAAGAGAAAAAGAGTGTTTAAAAAAATGTTTCATTGCAATACATGAGCAGAATGAATGGTACATACTAGCTTCTGAATGTTTTGAAAAACCTTCTTTCATTGGTAGTCAGTGAGGTTTATCAGCTCAGCTATTGACAGCCTTCCCCTCAGTTAGTTTTGCATGGAAACAACAACAACAACACCACACAATTAATGCTGTCTCGAATAGTCCATAGTTGTGAATAGTTGTGTTGAGAAACTATCTGTCAAAGATGTAAGAAATTCCTGCTCCTTGGGAGTAAGGCTTCATGGTTTCCTTAATTCTCCTTAATTATGGTAAAGATATTTTTGTTTTTAAATGGGAAAGGTGGTCCATGTGACTTTTGGATTCTAATAGAATTGTTATGAAGTAAGATGAAAATTAAACCTTTCTGTATGTCAAAGAGCAGTCTCTCTTTCTCTGCTGTCCAATAATTTATTTAACCTTTTCTGCAAAGAGAATTTAAAAATTAAATAAAATATTCTCTATATTTATCTTCTCTGTATCTTAAGAGAAGAAAAATATCTAAGAAAAAATTTCAACATATCACAGGTTAATTACAATTTGGGTTGCTAGTGACTGGAAGCCATTGCCTGTGTGATGGCTTCATGCCTCAATGTTAAAAAATAAGAATGAGGCCAATTCTAGCGAATAGAGGACAATTGCTGTTTTTGTTGGTTCCTCTAGTACTAAGTCAGAATAGGAAAAAAAAAATCCTGGCAACACAACAGAACCATCTTTTACTGCTGTCTTTTTCTTCAGCATTAACTGAGGCGTGTGTGTGATGGAAGGGATAGGGTGTTTCTTCTTACTTTCCCTCAGGAAAAAGAGCTTAGTTCCATTAAGCACTGTTGGAAAATATATTGGACATAGTATATTTAAAATTAATTTAAAAGTTAAAGGGTTTTAATGCCTTTTAATATAAGCAAAAATTGATTTTATTAAAATGCTTCCAGATATTACAATGCAATGATTTATTTATTACTTCAAGTCTGTATCAAGAATATAACTTCCTTTCCAAGTATATTGATTATTTTTTATGTATTTTGGAAGTGGAGAAAGAACCAGTCTACCAAATTTTTCCTTCACCAGCCTTATTAAAGCATAACCAGATCCATTACGTCAACATACTATTTCAAAACGGTAGAAAATTTTTTTTCAAAGTGGTAGAATTAACCAATTAGAAATGTTTCTTAAATAACAAAGGACAAGTCGCATTTTTCTAAGCTATGTTTTGCTGAGATGAAATATGAAATATCAAATATTTATAATAAAATATTCTAAGTTAAGTACACAAATCACTGAAATGTCTGAAATATTGAAATAGTTTATCAACCTTTTTGGAGACTTGTATAATAGGAACTTCTGTATCCATTATTAATATGAAAAACTTAAAAGGCTGTATTTATCTTTAGATTCAGAGCCCAAAATAAAATTGATTTAAAATTTAAAGCTCTTCTAGTAAGAAATTTCGGTGTAGTATAAGTTAAACATGGAACAAAATCATAGTTATTTTTGTTCATGTTTTTCTATTAAAAACTTTGTAGACACTAAGATATTAAATTAAATTCAGAATAAATGTCTCAGCAAAAAGTGTAATTTAAATTTTGGGGATGTTTAACTCATACAGTGATGCTCATTTTGAGTACTGCATTAAATGTATAGCAATAATCACATATATTATGCTCTAGCTTGTGATATGCAGTATCTTGCATTTCGGTGTATTATTCTTATATTCAGGATTATCTCACTTCAAACGAGGTACTCTATTTCAGAGCATCGCCTGAATATAAAGACTATCATCTGAGGATTAGAACTAGGCTGACTGTCAGTTATGCGTCCTGCTATTAGCTCCCTCGTTATTTTCCATGGAATAAAATGGCAACATGAAAGTGTCTTCGCTGCTAGTGTCTGGCTTTTCTGCAGCTACCCTTGCATCTGTGATAGTGGGAGGGAAGACTAATACATTGTAAGGCGAAGCTCACAGAAGACACAAAATCACTGTGGGCAGTACACAGGGGCATAACAGTGCTGCTTTTAAGAACAGACCTTGGAGTCCAGTGCACTTGAATCCAAGTCTAAACGCTCAACAGCCGTATGACTTGGGCAGTTATTTAACATCTTTGGACATCGGTTTCACTGCCCTCATCTACGAAAGGAGAGTTGTTAGAGGTTTAAGTAAATGCGTGTGTGGGTACATATATGTGTATGTATACACATATCATATGCGATATGTATTACCTTATGAGATATATGGATATGTATATTTACTTAAGATTATATATACCTAAGATATATTTGGATATATACATATATTTAAGATTTTGTATACATGTAATAGAGTGGTTCCTGGAAGGTGGTAAGTGCCACTCATATATTAACTCTTAGTATATTACCTTATCATTTCTATGTCAACTACTAATGAGCAGCAAAACTGATTGATGTGATTGATGGTTCTTTACTTTCTCTTCTTTGTCTTTGAAAGTTCAAAGTTGTAGCAAAACATCACTTTGTAAGAAGTTGACCCCACAGAATGAGAACCCCTAAAGCAAGGTGCTGAGTTAACAGACAGGATAATTACTTCCTGAATACGTATCAACAAGCTCTTTGTAGAACTAGCAGAGGGACTCTTTAATGGGCTTTTGTTTTAGAGATGATAGACTGAGATTCTAGGGACAGGCCGGATAAGAGCCATCGTAGAAACTGCCTCTCATAGCCTATTATTAAGACAGTAGCCTTGCAAATAAGTACAATCTCATAAATCAAAACACTGGAATGTGAGCTTCATAAGGGCAGAGATTTTGTTTGCAGTGGGTCACTGTTGTATCTGCAGAGTTCAGGCGAGTCCGTGCCTGACAAATAGAAGGTGCTCAGTAACTATTCCTCGAATGAATTGAACGAATGAAAACCTTGACCTTTCCTTGAAATATTACCTTTAGAAGCAAAACAAACAAACAAATGATAGCAGGCTTTTCCAGTTCCTGACAGATTTCAGACCTTGAGAATGCTGGTAAACAGGTAACTGGGGCTGAGGGGCAGCATGTGAAGAGCATTGGTATATATGTCCATGTAGCAAGTATTTCAAAAGTCATGGATTTGGTTAAGTTTTCACAGGAATGTGTGGAGTGATGCCACACTTAACTCAGACTCATGCCCATGTATTAGGTTTGAATTATAAATATTTTGTTCAGCATCTGCCTAACTTTAGTGTCTACACTTATACTTTTGTCTCCTCAGGGTTTTCAGAAATCTTTCACCTGTGACCATGTGTCATAAAGTGACACTTTTACTCTCTGTAAACATTTGGCTTACTTTTAAGACTTGCTGTTCAGCTTTGACTGGCTAAAAAAATCAGTTTGATATGATCCATTTTACAGGTGGGTTTGATTTTATAGCATTATTTATAATTTAGCTCACAACCTCAGATAGTGGAATAAAATAATATACCACTCTCATGATTACGTCTGACTTAACCAAGTCTAAATACATATTCATTTTTACTGCCATAGCAAACATTTTTTTGAGAACAGAAAGCTCTCTTTTAGAGCACAGGCAAGCTAATAATTTGAATAAGAAACTATTCATTTGTGTACACTATAAGTTTTCCTAATTATCTTTGTAATGAAAATTGAAAAGGCATTAGTCATTCTTGGTTGAGCCACACTCAGTTCAACTTGTCTTTTTCAATATAATAAAAATAGCAAACAATCTTAAAGTACATTATTAATTGATTAGACATGATTTCTTTAAATGGTTTACATCAGCTTTTTTAACTTTGGAACTTCCAGACATTAATAATGAGTCACCAAAAGGCAATCATAGATCTATAATGCACATTACAAATCAGGTGTGGTCCAAGAACTCTGTGTGGGCTCCCAGAAGGAAAAAGAAAAATGTTTAAAGTGAGCCATGGCAGAAATGCACTGAAAACACTCATCTGTATTTACAGAAAACAATTAAGTGTAATGCAATTAGGGTGACATTCAGGTTCATTTTATTCCAAGGAACTGTTTCTACTCTTGAAGCTCCATGTAGAAAAGGTCCTTATGGATAGAACACTATTGAGGATGGTATAATTCCACTTGGCCCTTGGGCATGTAAGGTAGACATTTTACATTATTGCACAGTAACAAAAATTTCAGCCATAGATAACACAGGATCTGATCAACGTTAACATACTTGGTGTTTAAGGCTAAGTCACGTTGGAAAGCAATCATTTCCAGGATGGAGATCAAATATCTTAACACAGTGTCACCTGTTGGAATTGCTAGAAAAGATTTATTTAAAAATCAATTCATAGACTGTATTTTTACATTCGTTAGTTTCTTTTCACTTGTGTGCTTGACAGAGGCACTTTAAGAGCTAATGACTGTAGTCCCACGGGTACAAGACACTGAGTTTCAGCAATCACTGATAAATGCAGAAAGGAATTAAAGTGAAATTAAAAAGAAAATAAATGCATCATTAATTCAGAAAATGTCCCTAATCTTGTAAAAATCACACGTCTCTGATCTGAAGAACTTCCTCACTTAAAAAAAAAAAAAAAAGGAAAAAGTTTAGTAGCTATCACCCACCAACACCCAAATAAGTGAATACTACAGCTTTCCGATGTTAAGGTATAATGGTTTTGTTGTTCGGGTTTTAAAATATTGATGAGTTTAATATTTTGAGTTATGTTTCAAAGTATTGTATTATGCATAGGTTTCAAATTGTCAGAAAAACTAAAATATCGAATAAAACATGTTGGAAGAGTTTAGTAAAACGTATAAAAATTAAAAGGCTAAAAAACCTCGCTCTTTTAAACTTGTAAAAATAAATCGCATTCGCTCGGGGGAATCCAGAGGCTTTTTTTTTTTTTTCCTTAGTTAGTTTAGTTAGTTGGTCTGTACTGCACCCGCCCCAACGCGTTGGAAAGTAGGTCCTGGTACACACTAAGGAATATCCAACCAGGTAAATACATCAGAGTGATGAGGCCCATGAAATTGAGCGGGTAGTGAGAATAGTCCCAGGAACAAGCGCTGCACATGCGGAGTCCCAGACCCCAGGACAACTCCCACACGTAGATGAAGATCACGTAGATAGGCACCCGCTTCCAGGTGCCCCAGCCGCATGTGTAGTATAGGTGGAAGTAGAGCTTTTCCACCACGAAACTGCAGCTGCCATACATAAAAAAGGACCAGAGCGACGTATGGCCGCTGGTCGCCCCGTGCCCCAGCCTCAGCACGTTAAAGAAAAAGGTGAAGAAGATCTCATCCAAAAAGCCATGCATTCCGAAAAAAAGAAAGCGGAGCAGGTCCGGTAGCCCCGGGCTGGGGGATCCTCCGGTGCTCCTTGGGCCACCGGGTCGCCGCTGCCGGTCACCCGCCGCCGCAGGGACTCGGGCTCCGGGAGGGGCGGGGGACGCGCCCAGTTGTTGCTGCTGCTGCCGCTGCGGCCGGTACTGCAAGCACAGGAAGCGCTTCAGGAACACTTGCGAGTGGTAGAGCGCCAGCATGTACTGCAGCGCCAGGTCCAGCGCCCCCGGCGCCACCGCGCCGGCCAGCCCGCTTCCCGGGCTGAGCAGCAGAACCTGGCCCGCCAGGATATGCAGCCCCACGTGCGCCGAGGGGTAGAGGAGGAAATTGAAGACGAAGGCGCTAGGGCAGCGCCACTGCTGTAGGTAAACCTTCTCCAGGGCGAAGTGGGTGAGCGAGTGCAGGAGGCAGCTGTAGGGCGACGAGAAGCCCAGCATCCGGCGGTCGGGACTGCGAGCGAAGCGCTGCGCGCAGGACACGAGCACGTCCAGGGTGATCCCGTGCATCCCGTAGAAGTAGAGGCGCATCCAGGCTGGCAGCTCGGCGCCCTCGGCGGGCGCCTGAGCACTGGACAGAGGCTCGGGGCGGCTGCGGGCAGCCTCACCTCCCAGTCCTCCGGAGGGCCCCAGACC